GATTAATGATCATCAATATGGTTTCAGACCGAAACGATCGACGGGTGATCTTCTAGCGTACTTGACTCATATCTGGGGTGAGGCTATCGACAAGCGAGGCGAGTCGTTGGCTATTAGCCTTGACATTGCCAAGGCATTCGACAGGGTCTGGCACAAAAGTCTTCTCTCCAAGCTTCCGGCATACGGTCTGCCGGCCCAGTTCTGTTCTTGGGTAGCTGACTTCCTGCATGAGCGTAGAATTCGTGTCCTTACGGATGGTAGCAGTTCGCGGTTCATGTCAGTGAATGCCGGCATTCCCCAGGGCTCCGTCCTATCCCCCACTCTGTTTCTGCTGCATATCAATGACTTAATTCCTCTTGGGAATATTCATTGCTATGCAGACGATAGTACAGTGCATGCGGGGTATCTCGGACAAGCAGCGGCTAGGCAGGCGGTAACCAGGGAGAAACGGGAGAATCTTGTCATTGAGCTCAATCGGGCTTTGGACCACATTTCTGAATGGGGTACCAAGAGCTTGGTTGAGTTCAATGCTAGGAAAACCCAGGTCTGCGCTTTCACGGCAAAAACGTCGCCATTCCTTTTATGTCCTTCTCTTCAGGACACAACACTGGAGCTAGAGAGCAGTATAACCATGCTCGGTATGGAAATTCGCTGTGACTTAAATCCAAAGAATTACATCGAATGTGTGATAAAAACAGCCTCACGCAAACTCGGAGTCCTGAACAAGGTGCGGTGTTTTTTCACGCCCGAGCAACTGTGCTTGTTGTATAAGACACAGGTGCGGTCTTGCGTAGAATATTGCTCGCACCTCTGGGATGGCTCCGCTAAGTACTTGCTCGATGCTTTGGATAGGCTACAGCGGCGCGCAATCCGCATCATAGGCGATGAGGAGGTGAGTAAACACCTCGAGCCTCTTCAATTACGCTGTGACGTGGCGTCACTAAGCGCGTTCTATCGTCTGTACCACGGCGAGTGTTCTGAGAAGTTATTCTCTCTTATTCCACCTTCCCCTTTCCTTCAGAGGACCACGCGCGCTAGCTTACTTTGTCACTGTCTAACTGTGGCTACAATTCCAATGCGTACAAAGAAATTTGGTGACTCATTTCTTTGTCGTACTATCCGTAAATGGAATGCTCTGCCCGCTCACGTGTTCCCTCCCTCTTACAACCTGGGATCCTTTAAAAGAGGCGTGAAGAAGCAACTTGCAGGCTGGCAGGGTGAGGATGGCTGGTGTGGCAGTTAGAACTGCTGTATCAGCTATCTTCGCATCTGGACTTCACCTTCACTTAACATCAGGTGGGGTGGTGCCATTTGTCGGACCTATCTATAAAAAAAAAACTGTCATTCCACTGCTCTATAGTGGCCCAGGACTTAAATTGGATTACTAAATGTTACCATTTCATAGACGCATTCGTGTCAAATTAATAGATGATAGGATAGTGAAGCTATTTCAATCTTAGCGACAGCGCTAGAGCAAAAAAAGGTTGTTTTATTTAAACCAACTTAAAAAAAAAGGTTCTCTATTCGACAGTATATACATTTTATTGTTGTTCGCACATATCTCCTAGGCAGTGTGTATTGATTTTGATGTAGTTTTTTGTTGAAATCAGGATTTTGACTAGCTGGTCCCATATTAATTTGGTGAAGATCTGTGGAGTACTTTGTGGGATAAACAATGGAACTCCTCAATAACAAATAGTATTCAATTTGTGTTTGGTATTTTTTAGAAATATGATTGAAATGATGTAGTAGTAATGTAGGTACTATCAGCCAATTTGATTCTTGACCCACTATAATCTTATTTTCTCACAAATTTTGCAAAACAATAAGGTAGATTTTTGCAGAAATGTGAACTTGTTATGTTCTGAACAATTATAATTGACGTGATTGAGTTTGCCTCCCTGTGACATGTTTAACGTTATACTATTTGGAGATTTTCCCATAGAATAAGGATTTTTTTAGTATTGAACCAAAGTTTTTCTTAAAGTAGAGAAATTAAAAGAGTTTATGTATTCGAGTCGAGAGATTATTTATGATTATAAACTTAATTTGAATTCAACTTTTATCTAAAATATGATCTACTGTCTTGAAAACAAGTTTCAAAATTCGAAGATCTTTGTTCCACTAGAATAAAAATTCCTTTTTATCAGAAGGTCCTTAGTGCATTATGCTTTCTACTGAAGAAAACTTGTTTATTTTGACAATTTTAGCGAATTATCGAACAAGTGGGTCAGGTATAAATTTGTTCGATAGTACTTTATTGGTGTTATTTTGACTTATAAGAACTGGACATTAAAATATTTTTAACACAAATAAAAAATAATAATACCTTTGATAAGCATTACATTTAATTGTCGTCTTGAGTGCAGCCGGAATACTTCCAAGCGAGGTAAGACAGCGGTACTGGGTAGGTACAGATTGTTTGCATCTCGACGGTTTATGGAGACAGATAATGGCGGCGTGCGAACAGCAGATGGGTCTTTTTGGAGTCTACAAAGTGAGCGATTTCTTAAATGTTGTAATGCTTTGATCACACGTAGCAAATAAACGGACGAGACAGTATAATGTTTCTCGATCGATACAGTGGTGGAAACTAAAAACTCATGTAAGAGCGCTCGGCCGAGCATTCGGCGCTATGTTTATGCGATGACTTCCGTGGTCGAGTGGTTTGTACGCCGGGTTTCAAGGTGTCGCTGACTCGAGCGGTCCCGAGTTCGAATCGCGGTAGAGGCAGATGTTTGTGTGATGAATACGAGCATTTGTACTCCAGTCATGGATGTTTAAAATGTATTTATTTATAAATATACTTTATATATGTACAGTATATGTATTCTATCCGTTAACCTAGCATCCCATAACACAAGCCTTACAGTGCTTACTTTGGGGCTAGGCTAATTGGTGTAAGTGTTGGAAATATTTATTGATAACGTACCGAGTCGGCCTCGCTCGTTTTCTCGGTACGTGTGATCAGATCATAACGGTGTGGCATAGCCGCAACCGTTCGCCTTATTTATTTCCTCCATATTCGACCTTCTCGCCCACGACTGCTTTATTTAAAAATATTCGCTTACAGTTTTTATTAATTTTGAAGCCAATTCCGTCAAGGCTGTCAAAAAATAATATAATTGTAATTTTTTTCATTACGATGCAAAATGTTTTAAAATAATTATTTTTAACCCTATATGGTAAGGTATTGTATTTAAATGAAGTGTTTAATCTCCTAGTCTACCTACTTATTTTTTTATATTGTTACAATTTTATATTTATATTTAACCATAAAATACAATATTTCTTTATTAATTTAATGTACAAACAGGTGTAAAACATATAATACATAAAATCATATTAAAAACAAGCATGCAACCTTTCATATACGAGTACATCATCACATAGGTTAATTTCATATGACGAAATTCATATGTCGAAGTTATGTAGACGATAACAGCTGTTTACTTTGATCTTGTGCTGTGCTATCCTGTTGTCGAGTTATTAATTCATGATCGAAAATGACGAAGATCATTATTATAATGAAGGGAGGGAAATACGAATGTCCTGCTAAAATTGGAGAAAATACAGTAAAACCACAGTACAATAACACTAGGTACCCTTTGGTGGTATTGTGTTTCGTCTGTGAGTGAGGTTCTAGGGCTCCACTGGTAAGGCATTATGTGGGGTTGGATCAGGGTAGGCGTATCAGCAGTGTGCGGCGTCATACACGTGATTCGGTATGTCGCCACCCGGCGGAGAAGAGCGGGAAAATCCGACGAAGGTGGGTACGGATATGGGTGCAGGCTTGTAGAATTTTCGAGGATATAGCCTGCCTGTTACTTCAATTCCATGATTCATCGTTGAGGATGAAACACTGTGATGGTTTAAGTCAGTAGGCCCGTGCCTGTGAATTTGAAGTGGCTGATATTAGCCACTGTCTTTGTGAGACACTATTTTATTAAATTTATTGAGTCTATCTGGTTATATAGTAGAATAAGTAAGCAATAGAATATGTTTATTACAAATAAAACTTAATGAAAATAGATTATTAATTAGGTGACCATTTATTATTTTTTTGAGGATCATTTAAATATTTTCTAACGATTTATCACCTCTCGTCGTGTGGCCCAACACTGCAGCCGCAGATGACTCCGCTCGCGATATTATTCTGTTGGTCTTTGTTTGCAACTTTCTCGTTTTACCCCAGTCTACATTGTAGCAGTAAATTTCAAACATGCCGTTTTATGCTAACCTATCGTTTTCAATATACTAATTGTTATCTTACTTCTTACTTTAAATGTGACAGCTTATAAATGATGACATGTTCAACTCAACCCGATCAAAGATTTACTTATTAACTGGATTTAAGCATAATGACGACCTCCGTGGCCGAGTGGTTTGTAGGCCGTGTTTCAGGGTATCGCCTACCCAGAGGTCCCGGATTAGAATCCCGGTGGGGCAAATGTTAGTATGATGAGCACTTGTACCTTTAACATGGATGTTAATAATATATATATATATATATATCAACGCACAGCTCAAACCACTGAACGGATTGCGCTGAAAGGCACACATTCTATAGCTAGCACGAAAGTATTTTCCAAGACTCACCTCCTAAAGGTGTACAAAGTTTATATGGAAAACTAATATTTCCACACAGACAAAGTCACAGGCTACCACTAGTATGTAAAATAGAATGGATACTTTTAATCCTTGCGATTATTGTGTCGATAATTTTGACATGAAATGGAAATTAGAACCAATCAATAATTTCGAGAAGTAAATTTTATGAAAACGTTGACGTAGTTTTAATAACATTTAATGACAAATTAATTACAAACCAACAACTTGACGTAGCCTTGATACGACTCATAAAAGAAGAAAATAATACTTAAAAGAAGTCTACAGAAATCTTTCATATGAACCAAATGCGCCAATGAAACATTTATCAAGAAATGCTCCGTCATAAGACGGTAAAATTATCCTAATAAATGAAAAGTCATAATAGAAAACCACTTAAATGTTTTTTTACTGACACTTTAATATCTTATGCCGATCGTTCACAAAAAGCAAATACAACTCCAATATAAACAAAATTGATTATTATAATTTAATTTGTCTTCTACCATTTGCTCGCTAATCTTATGATACTTTTACATGAATTTGTTTCCAATAATTAAATTACCATTCCATATTTACAAAGGTATTTAAAACTTTTTAGTTTAGCTATATCTAAATAAACTTATATAATTATTAACAACTTTTTACAATTTAAAAATTAAAACTAAACTACATACCTACTTTATAAATATATACTTATAGACACTATAAATACGGTGGTAAAAACCAATCTTCCTTTATCATATCAGATGCCTTTTCTGCTATCATTATAGTGGGGGCATTTGTGTTACCTCTTGTTATGACAGGCATTACTGATGCATCTGCTACTCTTAAGTTTTTGATCCCATACACTCTTAATCTAGGATCTACAACTGCATCGTTATCCCACCTAGGACCCATCTTACACGTACCCGCTGGATGGTAAATAGTGGATGTATAATGAGTGAGTAAGCAACGAAAATACTCATATGATCCCCAATGAAAACCCAAGCAATAGGGAAGAGGCACTTTTACAAAACTCGCACCACTCGAAACAAACGCATTAGTATGTTCTAAACTTATAGCAAATTGCATACCTGCTATCAACGTATCCAAATCTCGTTTGTCAGTAAAGAACCTGGAATATATTAGTGGTGGACCAAAAATAGGGTCAGTTTGATTGAGTAAAATAAACCCTCGACTTTTTGGAGTCAACAAGAGAGCTCTCGCAGCGAAACCATCATAGAAAGATAAAGGAAATATGCTTGTGTCCATGTAAGTAGTTGGATCCGAGAAAAAATCTTTGACATTTCTAGCATCGAAATGAAACTGTATATCAGGAGCATTCTCGAAAGCGAATTCTGTTTTTATAAACGCAACAGTTCTAAGAGTGGATGTGGATGCTAAAGGCCCACTTTTGTAATGGTGCTGACCATAGTAATCGTATATTTCTTGAAATAGTTGCTGAGAATCTACTAATGTTGAAGTTTTATTAGATAGAGCTACAATAAGTGAATTAGTGCCCACGTGATCTTGTAAATTTTCTCCTACTTTCAAATCCTTTATAACAGGTATATTTAAATTTTTCAAATGTAGTGACGGTCCTATTCCAGAAAGCATTAATATTTTAGGAGAATTTATTGCACCAGCACTTAGTATCACTTCTTTTTGTGCAAAAGCTGCATATTTTATGCCGTTGATGACATATTCTACACCATAAGCAGTCTTAGTATGACTATTTATTAAAATTTTAGTAACAAAAGCATTTGTGGCAATATGAAGATTTGGTCTGCGTCCTTTAAGAGGTCTTATAAATGCAGCATTTGTTGAAAATCTCTGACCATTTTTACTGGTGGATTGTGTAAAATCTACTCCCAATTGATTTTCACCATTTAAATCAGTTACAGGTAAACCTTGTTCTTTAAAGGCTTCAATAAGCATAAGTGTATTAGGTTCCATGTGTCGGAACCTTTCAACATTAAGAGGTCCACCAACGGCGTGATAATATTTATCATGTCCTTCCATATCTTGGTTGTTTTCTGACTTCTTGAAGTATGGCAACACCTGTCGTAAAAAAATATTAAAACATATAAATTATAAAAGTTCCAATCATCTGCCAGAAACCAACTTAGAAGTCAGATGAAGTACAGAAATATATATTTCTCCTCTAAAATTTTATGAAGAGAAACTGTTTAAAACGTTTTCATAAAAGCTTGACTTCCTGGTAATTTGTTGTTGTAGCCACTTAGAAATTTTAACCAGATAATAAACACACCATAACATAAACCTTACAGTGCTTACTTTAGGGCTGGGTTAATTGGCGTGAGTGCTAATAATATTTGTATTTATTTTATTAGTAATATAAATTATGTTTTAATAATAATAATACCTCTAAGTAGCTCCAGCCATGGTTGCCTGATTCTGCCCAACCATCGTAATCCCTTTTATTTCCTCTTATATACACCATATAATTAATGGAACTGGATCCTCCCATCGTTTTGCCTCTGAAATTATAAAATTACCGTTATTAACAATTGTTACCACTATACTCTGAAACTAATACATACTATTTAAGATTACGACTACATTTAAATTTGAAAACAATTTTTCTATTGATTTTAATTTTTATTGATTAAATAAACCCAATTTTAACGAGTTATGTTGCGCGTTAATGGTTGATTTGACTGACTGATTGAATACTAAAATTAGTTATTCTTATTGCTTTTATCTTTGTGATAATACAAACCAACCATATTTGTTAGTAGTCTTATTATATATTCGAATATTAATGCATAGCTATATAATTTATACTAAAACTTTATAGCTATGAAGTCAACAACACGGTGTAGATGTATCCAATGCATAAATAGCTATGAGTCCTAGCCTTAGGACAGTAGTCATTTATACATTTACTAGGTTGCAATAGAAAAATTGTATTGTCAACATTCTACAAGACAAATGTAACTACCGAAATTAAAATACTAAACTAAAAAGTAATACCAATGTTAAAAACATGTATGTAAACACAACATAAACTACACCAAAGAAAGTACCAAATCTAAAAACAAGGATTAAAAACACAAAATTGAACAGGTGCTATAGCTGTTTCCGTTTCTAAATCTACCTATTACTATGAGTATAACAATGGTCACAAAATACTGTATAGGTGAAGTGTGCTAATTAATTATAACTGTTAGTGGTGAATCTACTAAATTAACTCGATTTCAACTCACCAGTCTTGAAGACCATTTTTTTATTCATAAATCGCACACTCTCTCACACACGCACACGCATACAAACACACTTTCAGGCAGAGCTCACAAGACGTAGACATGGTCATCTAACAAATCTTTCACTTCTTTTGCATTTATAAGTATTTTTTCATATTAGCCAGTTTTTTATCACGTCGCTATCTAATCACCTAACCAGTAATACGACTATTTTGATCGTGATAAGTGCCGTACTTTTTGTGTGTTTTGACTCAAAAAAATTGAAGATTCTCCGCTTTCGTGTTATTCTCTCATTCAAGAAAAAGTGCTAAAAGGTAATGATCAAATAAAACATATTACTTAAATAACTAGAGGAAAATAAAAATAATTACTTTCGCTTGTAATAATTTATTATAGTTAGGCTTAATAGTAATATTGGCAAAGTAGATTACTTATAAATAGTGATCCCAATCTTCTTTTATCATATCTGAAATTTTTTCTCCTATCATAATAATTGGTGCATTGGTATTGCCGCGGACAATGTTTGGCATTATCGAGGCATCCGCTACTCTAAGATGACGTATCCCATAGACCTTTAATCTAGGATTCACCACCGCATCTTCGTCAGAAGGAGGACCCATACGACAAGTCCCTGAAGGGTGGAAAATTGTTGCTGTATAACTTCTAAGAATACAAAAAAAATAGTCGTATGTACCCCATTCATAGTTCATACAAGCCTCAACTGGCTCTCTTATAAATTCCACCCCGTTTTCTCTAAAAGCTTTTGTCTTCTCTAATACTTGTATCATATTTAAAGCGGCAACTAATGTGTCAACATCTCTTTTATCGGTGAAGAATCTGGAATATATCAATGGTTGCCCAAAAACGGGATCAGTCTTATTGAGAGTTAAATACCCTCTGCTTTTTGGTAGTAATAGAATTGGTCTTACGTTAATACTGTCATAGTAAGAAAGAGGCAATGTGCGAGTTGCTAAATAAGTTGTAGGGTCAGAATAAAATTCTTTCAAATTTCTGCCATCAAAATGATATTGTATATCTGGAACGGTTTCGTCTTCATCTGCAAATGGGGTTCTGACAAATGCTGTGACGTACAACGGCCCTGTTGCGGAAAGTGGGCCTTCACTATGTTTTGACGAATAATATTTTTTTACTTCATTAATCAACTGATTGCTATTTATAAGCGTAGATGTTTTATTAGTTAAGCCCATAAGCATAGCTTCTGTAGTAGTATGATCCTGCAAGTTGTATCCTACTTTAAGATTTTTCAAAACTGGTATACGTAATTCATGAAGTGTTTCTGCCGGTCCTATTCCAGATAGCATCAGAAGTTTAGGAGAATTGAGAGCTCCGCTACTCAAAATTACCTCTTTTACAGCATGCACTTCATGCCAAATGCCATTTTTAACGTATTTTACACCATAAGCTATCTTTTCATATGGGTGTATTAAAACTTTGGTTACTTGCGCATTTGTTCTGATAAACAAGTTTGGCCTTTTCTTTCTTACTGGTCTTATAAAAGCCGAATTTGTTGATACTCTTATGCCATCTTTAGAAGTTGCTTGAACAGTCATTGTTCCGATTTGTTGTTCGCCATTAAAGTCTACTAAAGGTAATCCCGTTTCGTGAAAAGCTTGTACAAGCATGGCAACATTTTTATCCAAATACCCAAACCTTTCTACTGTCAAAGGTCCATCAACACCATGGTATATTTCGTCCTTTGCTTCAATATCTTGATTATTTTCCGACTTTTTGAAATAAGGTAACACCTGTAATTCATAATGCAGATGTCAGTGCTACGCATTAAAACAAATAACGTTACAATTTGAAAGTAATATTTACATCATCGTAGCTCCATCCATAATTTCCCAGAGCAGCCCAATCATCATAATCACGTTTATTACCTCGCATATATACTAAGTAATTTATAGAACTGGAGCCACCCATAACACGGCCGCTGTAATATTAAATTATTATTTAATGGATACACATTTAGAAGTTTATGTATAACAGATGATATGTGAGCTGATATTTTGGCAATTCTTCTAAAAAAGGGCAGTAAATTCAGCAGGGCTGTATCAAATTAATTACCCATATTTTAATCGTTATTTGATGCATCATTGATTTATGAAGTTGAAATTGATACAAATCTATGTAAAACTATTGTAACTTAACCTTAGACAAATTAGTGACTTTTACACATATTTATTTATTATGTTTTCGCGCACTTGAATCTTTAAAAAAAAAACACTTTAACGCAAATAAACGCGTATAAATTTACTTGCATTGATGTTTTGGGCCATTTGCAGGTATCGTTTTGAAAACTGTTCAAATAATTGTTGACTAGCTACCTTCTTAAACAATTTTATTCGGATCCAAAAAATATTTTAGAAAGTAGCCAACCAAAAATCTGAGATATGGTCTGAAACGTCAAATAAAAATAAATAAACACGCGCTGTTTTACTCGTTAAAGGTGGTATAATTAACTCTTTTCACGCTAAACCATTAAAGAATCCTTAAGAGTTAGTTCCACATACTATTTTATTTTATTTTAATAGAGATGATGAAAAACTTTTCTTCATCTATCAGGTAGGGTATCTTGTGTATAATTAAGAAATGATACATGACGTTGGGTACGTCTTGGTACAATTTTTACTTAGAAGTATCGTCACGAGTTTCTCCTATTTAATGTATGTAATTTTTTGGTCGATTGACAAAAGAAGAAAATACTTGATTGTCTAACTGACGGATTAAATAGAATTGAATTTAACTCCCTATTTTGTACTAATGTATGTAATTCATTTATTCAACCTGCATGTTTTTAAGTTAAAAACACATTTTTACTTGAACAAATTCAACTTGGCTACTAAATTAAATTGGTTTTTATTAATGTTAGCAGATTGTTCGGCCATGTTTGCAAAAAGAAACATTCATTTCACTTTTCATTGTTGTACTGATACTATTCATAATAAAACTCATTCAATACCTAGCTTGACATTACAAAATAATTTCTAAAAGTAACAACAAAAGATGTAATAATGAATTTTGTGTAAAACTTTCACAGGAGTAGAAAACCATGACATGTCGGTTAGATTACAGTCCAAAACTTGAGGATTTTTTTTTGTTTAGCTGTCAATCATTTACTTTTTATTATCTTTAATATCTGAGACTAAACATTCGAGCTAGGACCTTTCCCAATATTCTCGCAGATCCTACATCGGATGTATAGCCAAATTGTTTTGTTAATGGTTGATTTTATTCACTTTCGTCGCCATTGTGGTTTGCAATGATAGTGACCTTTGGCCTAATCGGTTCGCTATTTATACTATTGATATTTACAATTTGATCATAATGCCAAAATCAACGTCAATCCTGTATTAAATAGATTACATTGATAATTTACTGATTTGTCTTTTTAATAATAATGAACCGATTCTCACGGACCGCACGGTTTTCAATTGACTTCATGAAAATGATAATAATAGTAATGGATCCTAAGCGCGGGATTTTGTACATTGCACCTTGTGAAGTACTCCCACCATACCCGAGCCCTTTATATAGGTAAACAGGGTCGAACGCCTAGGGCATCAAAAATAATTTCAACAATCGACTATTACTTTTGGTCGCGTTCAAATCGTCAGTCTTAAAGAATAGGAGCTACTGGAGGGTTATTATAGGAGTTACTTCGCGTAAAATCCCTTCTCAATGTCTGACGCGATCTGAGATAAGCAGATAAGAAATCCGCAGATTAATATATTCCCGTCATTAGAAACATAACGTGAATCTTCCAGTAAAAAAAACTAACGATTGGTTAGGACGCGATCAAAAGTTATGACCGATAGTTAAATATTGTTTACTGGCCTAGACCATCCATCCTATATAAAGGGCTCAGGTATGGTGGTACTTTACAAGGTGCAAGGTTATTTAGGTTATTCTGCCGCGCTCAAGTAAATCCCAAAATCCCCTACTATAAGGGACTTATTAATATAAATTACTTAGCAGTTTTAAATTGCTTACCTGAACCATGGACAAGTTTGACCTCTGTGCGCTCTACAAGTCAACTCTTCGGGCTGTGTTCTATACATCCAGTCAATATTGGAACTGCCAAGAACAGGAGCAAGGGCAGGCACGCTCGTTACATCCGGTTCTTCTGGACCTGCTTCTAACAGTAATACCTGTAATAAAGGAATTTTAATGGGTTTAGTTTCATAAAACTAAATCCCTAAAAAGAGGTAGGAAGAAAGAGGTTTGTAAGGAAAGAAACAAATAAACAGCTGAAAAAAAAACAGAACACTGTGTGAAAATATTCTTCTAAATATAACATTGTTCATACCTCATAAAAGATTAGCACCCAAAAAAGTTAGCCACTGTTTAAAACCACGACTATACAAATTCTTTAAACTCGTGTCTCTGTTAGTGTTATAAATAATTATACAGTGATCAAAACCCTTGAAACCAAAAAAGGTTACATCGACTAACTCTAAAGCGAAAATATTAATGACTACCTAGATTGAAATATAAATAAACGGTACGACTGTTCGCTGAATTCAATAGGTTCTGTAAAAGTTTGATTCAGTTAAAGTATCAGAATCAAATTAATTGGAAACCTGCCTCTCGCAGGTAAAATCAATTTGTTGAGATTTCTTTAAATTGACACACTGTTAATAGAATAAACAGATCGTTTATAGGATCTTCTGAATACTGTATTAAAACTGTTGAAACTGTATCAGTATTAGATAATAGTTCAATTCCTTAAAAAGTACCCTGTTCCTTAACATTTGAAAGTGTAACATGTATTGCGTTTATGTAGATAAATAACGTTTAAAAGTAAAATTACTGTTAAGATATATAGTAAATGGTAATGTTTCATATATTTTTGTGAAATATTTCATTGTTATAAGTTTCTCTTATAACTTCTCAAAATAACTACAAACATGTCGCAAGAAACTATAATGAAAGAGACATAAAACAAAATTCCTACACTAACAAAGAAATTTGGTGACTCATTTCTTTGTCGTAGTATTCACGAGTGGAATTCTATGCCCGCTCAAGTGTCCTTCCCTTCCTACAATCTGGGGTCCTTTAAGAGAGGCATGAAGAAGCATTTCTTCTGGCAGGTGAGGCTGGCCTGTGTGGCAGTTTGTAACTGCTCGCGTTTGGACTTTATCACCACTTAACATCAGGTGGGAAAGAGTCATTTACCTACATAGCTATAAAAAACGCTAAGTGTGCTTTTTGTTTTGTAATAAATTTTTAAAGTCGTAAAAGTTTTCGAACTTTTTAAATTACTTTATCATTTAAAAACTCATATCTCCGACATTGATAAAATAATCGAAAAAAGGCATGTCAAATTTAAAATAATATTTATGACTGGTGTACCTTAATAGAAAGGTCGCGCAACACATAAATTCACCCACAAATGCGGAAGAAAATAATAACATAGTAGTAACATAGTAACTATGGAAAAAACACTGCTATTTTCATTCGGCGTATCATTTACCACCACTGTGTATAAACGACTTTGTTCTTACTGAAACTTAGGAACGGTTGAGACAAAGAATGCAGCGTCCTAGAAGTTACAGTCAAAATTGACGCAAAACTGTGTGTTCGATTACTGTCCTAAAAATACTTTATCTTCTACTAGTAATCACCAAAAAATCCATTCGATTCCTTTTCTTGACTGTTTTTTGTTAATAATATTTTTTAACGGTAGAGTGAATAAAAAATCTTCTTTCGGAGGTGATTACGAAAACGGTTAAGAAAATGGACCAAAGGAAAAATCCGCGGTAATAAACAAATCAAACTGGTTCTCTTCTTACAACTGCAGATGCAGCCGAGACCAACTGCTTAACAATACAATACAATACAATACAATACAAAACCTCTTTATTGTACACCACAAAAAAAACATTGAACATTAAGTACAATACCATTTAGTACACGTGATGCAATGGGCGGCCTTATCGCTTAACGTGCCTTCCAAAGCGCAAAGAAGCTCAAGATAAATAATAATAAATATTTCAAATGCTCACACAAATTAGCCTAGCCCCAAAGTAAGCACTGCAAGGCTTGTGTTATGGGATGCTAGGGTAACGGATAGAATACATATACTGTGTACATATATTAGTATATTCATATAGAAATATATATTATACATCCATGACTGGAGTACAAATGCTCGTATTCATCATACAAACTTATGCCCCCACCGGGATTCAAACCCGGGACCTCTCAAGTCAGCGACACCATTAAACCTGGCGTACAAACCACTCGGCCACGGAGGTCGTCAAAAATAAGGTTTTGGTCGCCCGTCCACCATAACCAACCATATCGAAAGTTGCTTAACTTCCACGATCGCAGGCTGATCGCGCTAAATATTTTCGCCCTTAAGCTCCATTAAGGTAGCTACACAATAAAGCTAAAAAATCGAATATGTGTAGATGAATGTTCGGCAGTAATTGCTACGGGTCGGCTTTGTTGTTCGACAAATACTGCCGAATCAACTATGCGGGCCCGATTATGCGTGTAGCTACCCTCAGTGACAACGACGATAAAATGTCAAATTACGACCATTTTCATGTCTCATCCAGCGAACCACAACTCCGTTAGATCGTAAAACTAAAACAATTGAGTATCCGAGTCCCAAAGCGAAAAAGTTTCACAATCTGCAATTGTATCCCGACTGTCTTTGTAAAAGTTTGGCTCTTATAAATAACTAGGATTATCGCTAAATGAATTCATTTTGAATGTCGGCATGGAATCTCTTGATAATAACCTGTTTTGTGGATTCCGTTATTGTTTTTTACATAATGGATGACACTTGTTTCGAGTTTTGTGAATTGAAACTTTGTACATTGTGCAAGGAATTTGATTCTTCGATGAAGAGACGTGAATTCTTAAAGTAATTTCCTCTGATGTTACTTTGAGTTCTTAGCTGATTGAATGAAAATAAAAAATTGAAAAATGGAAACAACAAAAGGGAATCCTTTCATTATGATTATGGTAACATGATATGATAAAGTGTATACCTATCAATACTAACTGTTCATCAAATCAATCAGTTATAAACTACATTAAAGCGCGTTCAAAATTTTTGAGATGGGAAAAACCATCCAATTCGCGACTCTATGATCACGTGATCTACACTGACGATGCCTCCGCATTAAAGTATGTGCATTTAAATTTTGCTCAACGTCATTAGTAATAGCTTGGTCTGATACAACAAACGCTCCTCTGAGTGTAAGAGGTTGGAACCCGACGAGTATATAATTCTTAAATTTTCGTTAATAGCATAGTAGTCCATCATAATAAGGGTTGTTTAATACTGCACGGGCGCCAGCATCAATACTGCGGATAACGTTGATGTCCTTTAAATAATGATTTATTTTTAGTTTTTAGAATCTACAAATGTGTTATATGCCAATTGTGATACATTGAAGAATATACTACGTGATGAATAAAAATGTCCTCATATGCAAATCTCGTAAAATTACGGTCAAACTTCAGTTAAAGTAAGTTTATTTAACCATTATAATAATAATAATAATAAAGGTTTTTATTTATTGCCAATTTTGTTACAACTTTTAACAAATTATAAAATATTTATTAATAAATGAGTTTGACAGTAACCCCTCTCAGGTGAAGGCCTTCTCCAGAGATTGCCATGCATTTCTGTTTCGTGCTACTGTAACCCAGTCTCGACCAGCTATACGTGTGATATCTTCTGTCCATCGTGTTTGCGCCCTGCTTCTTTTTCTGAAGCCAGCTGGTCCCGGCCATAATGTGGCTTGTATAGTCCATCTATCATCGGTCATTCGAGCTACATGGCCCGCCCAGCTCCATTTTAATTAAGGGCATCTATAACATTCGTCTGCTCACGGATTATTTTTTGTGGTATTTTCTGAAGTTTCTTTATTTTCTCCATACTTCTCTGACTTGTCCTTATCTTATTTTTGATCTTAAGAGTGAATTTCCAGGTTTAACATGCATACGTTAATTAAGGTAAAAGATATGAATATATTATCTTTCTTTCTGGTTCCACAGGAAAATTGCCTTTCAGTAATTCTTTATAACTCCAAAATTTATTCCAGGTCTTTTGAACTCTTCTGACTACTTCTTGTTGATTGTTTTGTGCGTTGAATGAAATTTGTTTTCCCAAGTATATATAGCCACTCACATACTCCAGTTGAACGTCTCCCAGTTGTATAGGTTTATGGCTGCTGATCGTCATTACTTTCGTTTTATTTAGATTTATTTCTAAGCCAATTTCCTTGCTAGCCTTATGTAGAGTGGATATCATGTATTGTAAATCTTTATGATTATCAGTTAAGAGCGCAATGTCATCAGCGAATCTTAAATGTGAAAGATATTTTCCTTTGATATTAATTCCTAGAGTTTTAGAGTTTTCCAGTTTAGTTTGCTCAAGACGGTCTCTAGCACTGCTATGAAAAGGCGAGGTGAGAGGGGGTCGCCCTGCCTGACCCCTTTTTCGATTTTTATTGGTGGACAAAATTTAACCATTACTTAATTGTAAATAACTTGCTAATGGCAATTCAATACATGAGAAAATGTCAGGCAAATTGCTAAGTTTTTCCTTGATTTGTGCAATCGAAATACTTGCGGCTAAAGCCTTGACTTTATCATTGCAATTCATTGTGAAATACTCCAATCCCTGATATAGATTGTAACATGTTTATTTGTATATTTAATGAACTGTGCCAGCAACATTATTTTGTTTATGTGTCAGTAACTTTACAATCACACTACTGTTTTTTTAGTTAACCATTGGACGGTATATGAACGCTCTTTCCGTTAACTGTTTTCTTAGTTAATCTAAAAATTAATATAAAAGTGAGAACTCAAATAAAAAAAAATGATTAAAATTGGTAATAAACAGTCATAAGGTCCGTCTGCTTTTTCTGTATGCTGTTGGTTGCAGATAACCTTTACAACGTCACCGGGCTTGGAGACGACGGCGAGAACCTAAAGGGACCTCAAGCCGAGAATTGCCGAGGGGCTCTAGAGGTATTGCAGGTGAATGGCATTGCCACTCGGGGCCAATCTCCTCTCAGTCTGGGGCCTCTAGACCACTCGAATCTGAGAGGGTCAGCTCAACGTCTCTGAGACTAAGATCTCAGCTCTAGTTAGCCGTAGTCGTGAAAAAAATGCCCAGGTG